GTCCTTCCTGGTCACACCTAACACCACGCAGAATTTCGTCATTCATGTCTTAAACTCAGCTGGGTCCTTTCCGTCGAATTTCTTGAGGCCTTTGATCACGGTTGCCAGGTTCGTAGAAATATCGCTGGCGAACGCGCTTCGAACTCCTGTGTTGCTCGTTGCGGTATCCATTGCTCGTTCCAGCTTTATTTTCTTCGTCTTGATAAAAGTACTTCCTGCTGTAGGAGTAAGTTTGCTCGTGGTACTACAGCCTGTACCCGAGACTTCCCCACCCCGTTCCTGCTACTGATATAGAGGACTCCGGTTGTTGATCGCCACCACTAATGATACAGTGTAGTTCCTTTTACACCCGATGCGTATGCCGCTCGAGACTCTCGCGCACGTGACCCTTGCTGCTAGTTCACCACAGAGATACCCGCTACTGCCACAGGGGTGGTAACGTGTGTATACGACGTGAACCCTCAGCACCTTGGTGTAGATGACCAAGTTTGCGCGTCTGCTTGTGTTGCCGTTGACCGATGACGGCGTCGCAATCTCCAGAAATCTCCGAAACCAGGTTCCCTCGTTGTCCACGGATGAAGGTTGATGTCCCGAGAAGAGGTTGCCTTGATCTTCCCGTGATGTTCGCAGCTCGTAGTGTGTGCGTTAACCGAGGCTCATAACCTGTCAGCGATATTTCGCTTGGCACTAGCAGCAGTACGATGCTGCTGCAGATGCCAGGAGGCTGTGTAGCCTACCTCAGAGGTTCACACTCTGTGCGTCTCCAACCGCGAGACACTTGGAATGGAAATATGAAGATGCTTTTATTTGTTGCTGACTCCTGAGTCAGATTGATGTTGCTGATATTGAAGGGGAGTGAGAGAGGGGGGCGAGCTTAAGGCTGCACCACTCTTCTCGAATACCGGACAAATAAGCCAATCACACGAAAGATCCAGAATGCTTCCAGAATGATTTCTGGAAGCCCTCCTACACTCTAGAAGAGTATCAACTGCAACCTAGATCTAGAACGCTTCCAGAAGCTTCCAGAAGGTTTCAGAAGTTTCCAGAAGGCTTCCAGAAGCTACACACGTTCTACGTAGATGTCCCGGTCAACCTTGACCTAGCATGCTTCCGGAATGTTTCTAGAACAAGAGAATACATGCCACGGAGAGATGGATCCTTTTCTACTGCTACGCAGACTGGTTGCTGCAATCGTATTCAAAGGTCAAACAAACCGTGTCCGACTACTGGTGGTCTCGACGCACGATTTTCCTGACAGCGAGCAGGTATCACTCGGAGTGAATTGGACAGCGCAACCAACAAGTTCTGGCAGCCCCAATCCCGAAGCAAATGATAACGCGCACGCTAGTTCGCAGTGTGCTCTGATTTATCTGATGATTGCCCCCATGAGATCGATAAGATCGCTTGCGTTGACTGTGAGGACCTTCTCGCACTCGGCCTTCAAAGCCTCTCTGCGTCTGTTCCATGTAATGCTTTTTTCTTCCGGTGTGAGCTCTAGCTTGGGAACGTACGATGGAAGTATATTTACCTTCCGCAAGAGCGCGTCGATATCAACAACCCCGGTGAAAGAATCCTTGTGGGAATAATGGGTGTTTCGCGCTACCCATTTGCCGAACAAATCCAACTTAGAAAACGAAACGATGCGTCGCTCAGCTAGTTTCAGTTGTTTCGAGCTATGTTTCTTCCTTGAATTACTTGAGGCTTTCTTGGTCAGCGAGGACGCCTTCCTCTGTATAACTTTCAAAATACGCTTCAGCACCTTCCTGATGGTGCGATCGTTGTGGCCGGGACCGAATGCTTGCATCCATTCTCGTCTTTCTCGCCGGACATTTTTGTTGAGAGAGCCTGGATGCAGGGTTCTCAAGACCTCAACAACATGATCCGGGTCTTGTTTTCCTCTAGCCAAATCGCACATTTTGAAATAAGATCGTTCATATTGCTTAGTTTCACACACCACATACAGTCGACCCCGCTTCAAAGACACACCACGTTTCCCCCCCAAAAAAAGTGTCTTTAACGCGGGGAAGCGTCTTTAAATTCCGGGGTCACTAGCGCACCACCCCCGGGGCCAATGGAGGCGAAACATATGTCAAAAGGTGCGCATTCGCAGCAGAAAGGCGACCACAAGGGGGGTTGTTTGAAACCTACGACACAAGTGATTTCAAGGTCGCAACCACTGCTGCTATTGTGCTGCAATACATACTTGCATACCATCGTTTGAATTTCCCCGTACTGTACCACCAAAACGCTGAAACCGATGGTGTTCTACGACCTACGCATCGTACATGTACACGACGGTAGTGCGCTGGTGTTGGTATGGGCTTAATTATTTGGTTTATTTTATTTTTTGGCGTTATCCTCCCCGTGAATATCTTGCCCAAGATCTCGCTACCGCACCTGAGAAATATCGAAGGTTGTAAAACGACACTAGGAAAATGTAGGTTACGCAGAAACACAGAGGCCAAAAATATCGGGAAAGCACAGCGACAAAGAGGACACCGCGCCTCCCAAAAGGTCAAAACGAGGCACAACACAACACAAACGCCAAATTCAACCTCACGAGACTTCACCCAAGGCAAACAACGAACGTTGGCAATAAAAGTGCTTTGCTCTCGAAACCAAAAACTACACCCGCCACATATCCCGAAGAGTCACCTGCACCTCCCCCCCCTCCTTTGCTCTTCTCTTGACCTGAGTTTCATGAGTAAACGAATGCACAGTCTTCGAAGAAAGAAGGTACGCCGTTTCGCTGTAATCGCCGTCTCTTCCATGTGTGTACAAGTAAGAGCGGACATCTTCCAGACGAGGCGAACTACAGGTGCAGCATATGTTTTGGGGGGGGTCGAATGGTGGAAAACCCTACCCCCCTACTTTTTCACATCTGCGGGGCACCATGTTTCTGAGATTTTGTGTCCTCAAAGCGGGGAGTGTCTTTAAAAATGGTGTCTTTAAAGCGGGGACGACTGTATATATTATATTTCCTGAGTTTCCTGGTATAATAGCTATCGGTCGACCACGGCACGATCAACTTGTCTTCCGCTTTTTCGACTTCCTCTCCCTACGCTTCCCTTGCTCTGTTGCACTTTGGACACTTAACGTCAACATTTTCGATCGTGTGGGGCAAAGCACAGTCAAGACGGTCGAGAGTCGGTTGGCGTTCTCTGTAAACGGCTCAGATAAGTTCATGGTTGCTCAGGTTGCACCTCCCCCCATAGGAGCGGTGAAGTTCTTGGACGAGAGTTTCTCTGTGCCGTCCACCCTCGTCTGCTCTAAGACGCCCGGCCGTAACGTCGGCGTAGATGTAGCTTGAAACCTTCCGAGAAACCCACGATACCCTCTCTCGGTCGGACATGTTGTTCTCGCTGCGGTGAACATCGTCGATGACCCTGACGTTCGAGGGTCCGGTCGCTCGACTTAAAGCCGTGTACAGCCTGTGGACGTCAGCGTTAAAGTGCCGCGCCTGATGTATTATCAACCTCCCTTCCACTGTACGGCCTTGGACGGCGTGCACGGCGCATGCTCCTGGAGGGTCGAACAAATTTTCTGTCTCCGCGCGACAGAGTGAAGTTTCCTCAAGACTAGCACCATCGTCAAATACACTCGCGACGACGACGGTATCTGCCGAGGATCGGATGACATTGTACATGTGATTCTTGTGAACCTTGCCCGGGTTCCCGAGGTCCCGGTATTGCGCACCGACAACCGTCTGACACCCCAGCCCATCCCAGTCCCCCGCTTCGCTACACCCCAGCAAACCTCGGAAGGCGTGGAATCGAGCGTAATCTATTGTGTACGTGAGATGAAAGTCTGAAGGGCTAGGGTCGTCGAGACACTCACTACCGAACCTCTCGATGGCACGTGCCTGCGCGTCGAGACTGTCGTTTTCTGCGGCCAGACTGTACCAGAGACCGTCGTCCATCTCCACTTATTCTTCGATAGTTTTTTCCCGCTTGCGAGCGAAGACGTGAAAACACGTGGGGAAGGGCTTTTTCGGGGATGACCTTCCTCTCCACGTTGTCCATGCTAATCGCCATGCCGCTGCTATCGCAAATGGGCTGGAGTTGGTGCGTGTCGTACGTCCCGATCACGTGGGTACCGCTGCTGCTGGCAGCTGCCAGGATCATGCTGAGGGTCCGGAGAGGCATAGAAGCAGCTTCTTCGATGATGAATACGTCGACCTTGGGCGTTCGGATCTACCCCGCCGTCTTCCTCACGTAAGAATCATCACCCAGGCAGAGTCCGAGTTGGTGGTCAGCGGTCTTTACACTCCACCCGGATGGAAGATTTATGTAGGACGTGCGCAGGCTGTTGGTGGGGGTCAAGACTAGTCCTGTTTCGAAAGTGGCCGTAGCAGCGCGGATAGTGCAGTAGCTCTTCCCCGTTCCCCCATGTTCTCCGGTCACCGCACAAACGATCCTTGTATCTGGTTGCGACAAAAAGGCCGCGGAATAAACCTTCTAGTTTCGATGGTGACTCGGCCTCGCATATTGCGGGCCAGAGATGGCGCTTGGTGTTCTTGCCGAGACGATGCCAGGCATCGCGCACGTCTTTCATCGAGCTGAAGCTGGTCCCGTTGCCATCCCACAGGGGGATCACTAAAAGCGGGGGTTGTCGTGGGTAAGGAATTTTCCTCATTGCCGGAGGTAACGCGTCTAGCGATCGCTTCACCACGCTGCCTTCGAATACCCTCCTCTCTCCACACCCCGGAGTCTTTAAGGCTGGTTCGGATTTGAGAGTGCCAGAGTTTTTTCGTCGTCGATAAACAAGTGCTTGAAATGGAGAGTCTTCTTTTTTTGCACCGACGAAGATCCCCTGAAGAATACCGCGTCACACTGGTAGCTGAAATCAGATGCGCCGCAACATTCGAGGGCGTTCCTTGCCTCCAATACTCGTATTCGAGTTTCGTCGAGGATGAGCGCTCCTAGCGCCCACAAACCATCTCTATACCAGGCCCGTTCCGCGTCCAAACAAAGGTATGCATCACCGGTTTGAAGTGGCTCCATACCAAGGCTCTCCCTGTCCCGTACGTAGTTCGGTTTTCAGGCGATCGATCTCGCACAGGACAGGAACGATCTTTCCGCCCTCCGCCGACGCCTGGTCACAGCCCGTGACCATGTCTTCATCTATCCTGTCTGCGTATCTCTGCTGCAACATGCCACTGGCCCGCACGAATATCCCTTTCTTAAACTTGCGGGCACGATCAGGATCCTCTAGAAGGGGTTCACCCAGTTCATGCGCGCATAGGTCTCTGACAAGTTTGGGTATGTGGCACCTGCCGACGGTCCTCGACGGCCGCACGAAGTGGGTAACTCTATGGCAAGCAGCGGTGTCAATGAGGTCGAGGTAACGCTTGTAACTTTGACCGAAGACTAGGGTCACATCCGCGTTGAGGAATACGTCGGGTTCGTCGAGTGCGTCCAGCTTTATTATATAGACTACAGGGTCCAATCCTCGATATTGTGGCCATCGAATTCCTCCACCTCATCCATGTGGCCGAAAACGGGCACCGTTTCCATACTCATTAGAGTCGCCGTGTGGGCCCCGTTGATGTCACACTGCCAGTCTTCCCTCCCGTAGGAACTCTCGGACGCGCCCTCTGCCCCGACAATCGGCCCCCGCCAGCATACGTCCAGGAGGGTGAGCAGAGACTAGCTGTACTGGCTCGACACTCGAAAATCCAACACACCGCGATAAAACTTTCGACCCAGCGCATCATGCAGCTTGATCAATCTTGTCGCCTAGTCGGGCTCGAAGCCGTCGGGATCGAGCCCACCCATGCTCGAGCTGCACCAGGTTCGGATGAATATGCCGTGCGCTGGTAAGGACAGGGAGTACCAGCGACTGTAGTTGGTGAGTCTACCCCTGCAAGAGACCCAGGCGAGGTGCAGTTGGTGCATCAGCTCATCCAGAGCCGTTCCCGGGGGCGCGTACCATGTCTTGAATTCTGATGTTTTCCCCCTATGCTTCCGCTTCTGTACTGGCTGTCGGTTGCGGTCCCCCTCTGTTTGGCTGATGGCCATGATATCACTCACAATGTCAGCGACACACGAGAAGCTCTTGGTGCCACAACCAGCCGTATCTGTTTCCCCTTCTTCCTCAGTCATCTGAGAAGTTCGACGGAATTTCCGGTATGTTCGTACACCGTGTTCGACTGCCACGTCGAGAGACGAACCAAACCCGTCTCTCCAAGCCCCCCCGAGCACCAGGTGGTACACATGTCCCTCACGAACGCCGACGTGTAATGCGGAGGGTCGGAGACTAGTTTTCCCGTCGGATGGTCCAAGAACGTCGGCGCCAGTACCCCGGTGTGACCATACGACGACGCTGGCCTTGGTCATACAGAGCCACTTTCGAGATGGTTACTGTCAAGGCGGGTGGTTCTGTGTCCCCCGAAACCCATGTGTCGAACTCTATTTCCCCGATGTCTCGCTCCAGAAGGATGGAGTACAGGTTGCGGAAGTAGTTCTTGTTTGGTACAGGCGCACCATTTGTTGGTCTACCACCGCCAGATGAGATCATGAACGCACCCGTGGGATCTACATCTCGGAATCCAAACCTTCTCCTCTCCCGTGTTAGCAGGTCGACTTGACTGTCGCGCCAAGCGTCGGCGACGAGCACAACGAGACAGGCTCCAGGGAGCTGTTCTTGCCATTTCTTGCGGAACGCGGTGATGGGAGCATATCTCACAACTCTGTGCCCGAAGGTCGCTATGGTAAGTGGTCTGAAAAGAGGGCTCTGTGAGTCGACACCAGAACGGACCTGGAGGTCCACAAGAGAGATCGGGATGCCCTGGGTGTTGACTTCGATCTCCCTGCCAGCTGATGCCCAGCAGAGGATCACTCGCCAGGTCTCGTCGGCCGCTGACACAACCAGCTGTCCAAGGCCACCACCCTCTACGTCCACAAAGGCTGTGCGCCAACCACGGCGTCACGCGGGTGGACCATGCCTCTTCGAAGCACCGTCCTCGCCCAAGTTTGAAAATTGTACAGATTGGGGTCTCCTCCGAGGGGGTGCGAGTTGAACCACTGGTGTCCTGGTCCCGCTGATGAAGGGAAGGATATACGAATCCTATACCCTGTCCCGAAGACGGCCTGCCGTCGGTAGGTGACACCTCGAGGCCCCATATAACGCCACCCGTTGCTCCTGTTTGCTAGGGGCTCGGCCTGGTCCACCTGCTCAACATAACACCAGCGGTAGCTGGTGGCATATGATGATGATGATGCAGCACACGTATTCGACCGTGCCATCTTCTTTTTGAGGTGAGCCAACATAAATTTTCTTTTCTTTTGTCAGAAGCGTCAACCACGGTGGTGGCACCGTTGTGTTATGGAGTATGGCTGCTAGCATTATTAGGGTACATCTTGTTGTTGATAGGATGCGGTATTGGTTTAATATTCATGTAGACTATGAGACATTAAGTGAAAGTTTTCTGAGGTACATCTGCAATTGTCGGAAGGCAAAAAAAAAACGAAGGATGCGGGTCGGTCAGGAGGTATACCCTTCTGACCCCTACCCCCTTAGAATTGTCTACTCTGTGTAACCCCTGAGATGAAGCTGGATCCCCACTTTATCTCAGACCCTTGCTGATCGTCTCTCAGCAATAACAAGCGACTTTCCCATCTCAACGTGGTCGTGGACAAGCGTGTCAACGACAGAACCTTCATCTATCTCTAGGAGCAAGCTACCGCCCACGGCTTCACCTCCTTTAAACTTGGCATCAGCGGCAGGATACTGGTTCGAATCTCCTTGGGCGCGCACTTTTTCTCCTGACTTGGAAATTTACCCATGGACACAACGTGTGTGTGTCAGTCCTGAGAACACCCCTTGGAGTCGATCCTACAAAGAACCTTGTGACACGTCCATCGAATTACCCGTCCTGGCCACAAAAGGTTCCCAGTTGAGGGTAATTCTGTGGGTGGAGAGGACCCGATTCGCAGGGTATCCGTCGATTGACTTTTACCTGAATCGGTACACCTTCGCTGTTTGTTGTCTGATGACAATATAAATATCTGTTCGGTGATGACTACTGACCATTGCTATGTGTCTGTATGGTGAAGACGCGAAAAAAACGATGTAGACAATACGTCTCTGTGAGAATGTAGTTGTGAGCGTGTGACTGTTTTATGGTGACGATTGTTCCCCGTCAAGAAAGATCTGTCCCTATATTGCCTGTGATGATGCTATTATTACATTATCGTCAATCACTCAATCAATCCATCACAGTCATCCACGGGAAAATTGAATTTTTGAATCTCCCCGCACAAAAAGTAACCCGAAAAGGAGTTCACTGAGGACGAGGTTGAGGCGTGTGTGAACAAGCTGAAGTGTCACAAAGCAGCGGGAGCGTATGGGATAGTCAACGAGTTCATGAAGTTTGGGGGGAAGGAGATGATCCAGCTGATGGTACTGCTATACAATTGGGTGTGGAAAAACGAGTATACGCCAAGTAGATGGAGGGAAGGAGTGGTTGTGAACTTGTTTAAGAAAGGAGACAAGACTGACCCAGGAAACTACAGGGGGATCACACTGTTGAACACAGTAGGAAAAGTGTTCTGTAAGCTGCTGAACGATAGGATAGTGGGAGTATTGGAGAAGGAACATAGCATTAGTGAGGGCCAGGCAGGTTTCCGCAAGAAGAGGGGGTGCGTAGACCACGT